TCCCAGGTTAGGATCCGAACCAAGGTCTGGGTGATCCTGAAACCTGCTTCCTTTTATGAGATCTCTCTGCTGGCTCAATTTCATCTACATCTTTTACCAGAAAACTGAAGGACAAACCACAATCCAGGGCTCAGAAAACCTGAGCAGGGTCCATCCCTGCCTCAGCCACCTCCTGCCAGGGATCTCCAGTCCCTTCCTCTCCTGTTTCCGTCCTTCACAGCATGGGATGGTTGTGGGGAGCCTGTCTCAGGCCAGCTTTCCTTCTCAGCCAGGCGCTGGTCACTCCACCCAAGGTCATCTGACAAAAACCCAGCCGCCCCTCGAAGCTGTGCTGCTCAAGCATCTCCACCCTCGAACCCAGGCAACCCCATGGGACACGAGGAGCATGCGTGCAGCTGCAGCCAGGCCTCCCCAGCGAGCGTGCACTCCTGGAACTGCCAAGCTGGGCCCAGCCCACCCTTTGTTCCCTGCATCTGGAAGGGCAATGGGCTTCTTCCCCGTGACAAAAATATACTGCCTGGCCTAACTGCCAAACACGAGTCAAAGAGGATGTTCCTGCTAGGATACACAGGCAAGTGCCTCTGCCGCAGTTTTACTGCCTCAAGATATATTGGGGGTGTCTACTGCTGAGTGGGGAGAGAGGGCTCACTAGCCAGTGACCCGCCTGATCTCCCCACTCAACAAAACATTCCACCTTCATTTCTAAATATTTAGAAGCTGAGAAAATATCAAACGAACATCTGCAGGCCCTTCCCCGGATGGGAAACCTTGGATCTCTTTCCAGAGATTTACAGTTTCGCCTCTTTCCCACGTCTCTGCTGTCACACAGAAGAAGTGACCTCTCAGTACAACTTCCTCTGCAACCTTTTGGAACTGGGGGCTTGCAACCGTTTTTCACTTGCTCTATAACCCTCCCACGGGGGCCCACGTGGCAGTGTGCTAGAGGGTACCTTCTGCCCGCCTTTCCTCACACGCATCGGCAAGTCTTGGCAGGAAGGTACGATCTGGCTGGCTTGCGGCTCACCTTCTCTCCGACAGTCCCACTGCCGCGGGAATCTGCTAGAAGACTAGCTATTTACCTTGTCTTCCAGTTGACGTCCCTGAGAAACATCTTTTGGTGGTTGGAGGTGGGAGAAATAAAAGGTAAAATGGCGGAGGCAGGGCTGGGTGGAGGCAGCGCCGCCCGGTCTGGCTGTGGTCTGGCTGGCGGGCAGGTGCAGCTCAGGCCCTCCACCTCTGTCACATGTGCCCAGGAGAGTGGCACTCCGCCCCGGTCACTGACCTACCATCAGCCACTTACACTGGGATATGAGTGGGCCCAGGGCATACCCTGATGTGCCCACGGAAGGGACCCCTGTGAGATGCCAGCAAGCCAAAGCTGGCGGCCTTCTCCAGATGGGCCGTGGGAAACAAGAAGACGAGGGTGCCCCCAGGACCACACACACAGAAGGGCAGCTACTGCTGCCGGGGTGAGGCAGGCTGGGCCACAGGACCCTGGGAAAGCTGGGGACCCACGGGGCCTTGCTGAGGGTGCTGATGCTGGCTGGGATGGCTCTTGGGGCTAGGGCCTGGCACTGTGGGCCTGGGGAGATGGCTCCAAAACCAAGCAGCCTTCCTTCCTGACATGTGGGGCAAGGGCATGTGAGCGTGGGTGACCTGGATGAGGCCAAGTTTCCAGAGGAAAAACTCAGGTCCAGGATGCTGTGAGGACTGTGTAAGGAGGAACTCGAGTGAGGGGACTCTCATCTGACGCCCATCTCACATCTTGGTCGTCCAGCCCCTGCCCACTCCACTCCAGAATGCCTCCCAGCCTGCCCTTCTTCCCCTGCCCTTCTCTGTTTCCGCCCTTGCCACCTCCTGCCTCAGATGGACGCTAGCGTCTTCACTGACCTCTCTGCTGCAGGGCTGTCCCCTCCAACCCTCCCAGGGTTGCCTGAGCCAGGCCCTTGTCATCTCTCTCCTGGAAGACTCTAACAGCTTCCCTCTGACCACCCATCCCCCAAGCCCACGGGCAGAACCACCTTCTGGAAACGCAGATCCCATCAGATCCCTGGACTCCCTAGAAACCTCGAAGCCCCCCTGACAGCCTCGAGCAGTGAATGCACCCCAGTGGCCCAGTGGCTTCCAGCAGGAGACCATCCTGAAAGACAAAGGCACACCTGCAAGAGGGGCCCAGAGGGCAGCACGGCTCAGCACACGCCTAGGGAGCCCTGACCCCATGTGGGGCTCTGCAGGGTTGGTCCCGCTTGCTTCTGAGGCCACAGGTCCACTGCAGCTGCTCACTCTGGCTGCTGAGACAGTGCCGTCTACACCGAGCTGACTGCTCCATGCACTTCCATCTGACAGTTTATTTAGCAGTCGCCGAATGGCAGGCACAGAGGATGAATCGAGACCACAACAGCTGTGGTGTGGTAGGAAGTAGCATATTTTTTTCTCACCAGGCAAATCTGGGTTCACATCCTGGCTTTGCTTCTTACTGGTTAAGTTATATGGGCAAATTATTTAAGTTTGAACCTCAGTTTCCTCACCTGTTAAACGAGAATAACCTGACCTTGGTCACGATCTAATCCAAGGGGACAGCTTGCAAACCATGCGTGTTCATGCTACCACCGATCGGCTCACCTCTCCCGGAACCCTTCGCCTCCCACCCAAGCAAGCACAGGCATTCTTCCAAGGCTCCTCTGGGACCCGTAGCCAAGCTCTGCAACCCTCACTTCCCCTGTTTGCTCAGAAGCTGTGCATCATTAACTCAGATTTGTCTACCTCGTTGCAATCCCTCCCCCTTCTGCAGTTACTTACATTGGAACCCAGCCCCAGCTTTAATGCACCTCAAATGAATGATGTGATCAGCCATTAGAATGATGGCAGAGCATGAATTTCCTCATTAAAGCCCCTAGAGCAAAAGGCAATGCAAACAAGGTCTGAAGCCCTGGCCAAGGTGTGCTGAGGACAGGCACTCATCAGGCCTGGGTTGAGCTTGGCAGGAGACACTGCTCACGGCAAGCCGGAACCAGACTCTGGCCATGGGCTGACAGCTTTGACTTAAACTGTTAGGAAGGCTGAGGATTAAATATTTGTCCAGGTCACTGTAAACCGGGTGGAATTATCAATAGCCTGGAGTGGTAAGTGATGCAGGAAGCAGTCTCTGGATACAGATTCAGGATTTTCCACCCACTCCCCAGGTGGCAGGATGTGGGAGAGTCAGGCTGCAGGGGACCTGGCTGTCTGGGGATTTGGCTGCTCCTCCCCAGCTAATGGCCCCTGGAAGACAGGAGTCCACTTCCATGCAAAAAGGCTAACCACCACCCCCTCCCCGCTGCCCTGTCAGCACTAGTGAGTAGTTCCGGGATGGGACCGCAATATCCCTGCTCAGACGCCAAAAAGAGGACCCCAACATCCCTTCTGGCCTCCAGCCCTTTGGACACAAGAGAGGCAGTGGAGCTTCTATAGGTGGAGGAGGCTCCCAGGCATGATGGCTGACATTCACCTTGCATCACTATTTTTTAAAAGTATGTAGGTGTTGTTGTAACTAGTAGAATACAAATTCACTTAAAAGATTTACTACACTGGGCTGGGTGTGCTGGCTTATGCCTGTAATCCCAGCACTTTGGGAGGCCGAGGTGGGCGGATCACTTGAGGTCAGGAGTTCGAGACCAGTCTGGCAACATGGTGAAATCCCACCTCTACTAAAAATACAAAAAAACGAGCTAGACGTGGTGGTACATGCCTGTAGTCCCAGCTACTCGGGAGGCTGAAGCAGGAGAATCGCTTGAACCCGGGAGGCAGAGATTGCAGTGAGCCGAGATCACACCACTATATCCCAGCCTGGGTGACAAAGCGAGACACCGTCTCAAAAAAAAAAAAAAAAAAAAAAAGAGATTTACTACACTGATCCTTTCAGTCATATGTTTTCTATCCACAGCTATCGAGAGCATAGTTATCTTACTGAAAGATATCTCTGATGTTAAAAGGAATTCTCACAGTGGAAAGTCAGGGACTACTGGAACCGAGAATGGAAGGGCATCCTTGCAGAAAGTGGCGCCCCTCTGAGGCTCCCAAGGCTGTGCCGTTTCTGCCAATACCGACTTCTCCGAAGGCAGAGTGGGGTCCTTGTGAAACCCAGTTGTGCACCTGGTCTATGCTTTCTCTTCCCCCTTTACGCCAAGCATCTTGTGGCCCCGCACCAGCACAAGATTAAGGCCTTCTCTTGGGACGGGAATGTAAAGGGTCCTGAACATGGATCCTTACACAAGGTTCTTAAACCCACCTAGATGCTTATGAGAGCATCTAAGGTAGAAGGGGAGGCAAGTTTGCTCAGGGAAGGCAGTACCTTCCAGTCCAAGTCCAAGTTTGCCTTAGACAGAACCTGGGAGCAACGTCGTGGAGAAGGGTTGCTAGAGATACCCAAACAAAAGATGGATAAGAGAGAGGTATCCAGTAGGGCACGTCTTAAATTTCAATGTGCACACACATTACCTGGAGAATTTTGTGAAAACAGAGATCCTGATATGCTAGGTCTGGGGGGGTGTCTGACATTTCTCCCTTTCTGACAAGCTCTGTGGTGATACTGATGCTGGTCCTTGGACTGGGCTGAGGGCAGCAAGGTGCAGACACTCTGAGCTCAGGTAAGCAGCTCCCAGAGAGCTGACCTGACTGATGGGCTGGGCATGGCCACAGAGAAGGCAAACAGAGCCAAGCACCACTTCTCACAGCACACCATGAGCCGAAGCATGGGGATGTGTGGTGCCCTGAGGAGTAAGGAGGAGCCACGCCAGCACCTGACCTCCCTCAGCAGGAGGCCAGCAGAGTGCCAGCAGCTATGGGCAACCTTGCACAGCCCAGAGAGCTTTCATTTGAAACTGCAAAGCCCTACTTAGGTGGTGGATTTATAGCTGGCTGAACATGCTTACCCTAGAGCACCTGCTCACTCATCTCTGCAGGTCAGCGCTGAGGCCAGCACCTGTGGGCACTGGCAACTGGCTATGAGCGGGTAACTCTACCTGTCTGGTAAGGCTGCCTCCGAGGTTCATGGTGCCAGAGCCGGATTTGTTGGTCTGCAGCCACAGCATCACCGTGGAGGTCAACTTGTAATGGGCAGTGCGGCCGCTGGATTTCTCCTGGAAGGACAAGACAGAGATCTGTTGAGCTGAGGGAGAGCCTGAAGTGGCCCCTTGAATTCAGGGTCATCCTAACATCTCCCTTCCTAGGTCATTATCACAATATTACCTTTTTTTTAATTGGAGACAAAGTATTGCTCTGTCACCCAGGCTGGAGTGCAGTGGTGTGATCTCAACTCACTGCAGCCTCCACCTCCCAGGTTCAAGCGATGCTCCTGCCTCAGCCTCCCAAGTAGCTGGGATTATAGGCACCTGCCACTAAGCCTGGCTAATTTTCTTTGTGTTTTTGGTAGAGGTGGGGTTTCACCATGTTGGCCAGGCTGATCTTGAACTCCTGACCTCCAGTGATGTGCCTGCCTCAGCCTCCCAAACTGCTGGAATTACAGGCATGAGCCACCGCACCCTGCCTCACAATATTATCTTTCTTATAAAATCCCAACTGGTTTTTAAAGGGACATTTGTCATTGTGTATTTCTTTTGGGAACTCAATCATCAATGACTACCGCAATCTTGACTTATCTTTATCCAAATGGCTTGGAGGCATTTCTCAGAATGAGGGGTTCAGAGATCACAGCATCCCCCTCACTGCATCTGCTAGAGAGCAGCGTGGCACTGTTTGGTGTGATTCTGTACTTAGTGGCCCCGGCCACCAGCTGCTGGGAGGCGGTACCTGCACTTCTACCACGTGGATGGAATCCCAGCAGCCTTTGATCTTCTTTGATCCATCTCCAGCCTTCTTTATGAGGATCACTCCAGCAAAGCCATGATCCAGATCCCAGAGGTAGACAGATGAGACGCCGCCTTCAAAATACCTGCAGGAAACAGGCCAATGTGCCTGTTAGATGCTAAAGGACAGATCATCAGCCTGGGTCCCAGGCTGTTGCTCAGCCAAGATTCTGGGATTTGGGGTCCTCCCTGCAACAGTTATGGGAGCCGATCCTTGGGTGTGTTCTGATCGTTCTCTGGCTCGGGGAGGGGGTGCAGCATTCTTGGGGATGTAGTAGGTTTAGGCATCATAAAGATGAACTTGAGTTTGGGCTCTGCCACCTCCTCTAGCTTTGTGGTCTTTGGCTTACTGGACCTCTCTAGGCGTCACATTCCTCCCAGATAAAGAACGCAGAACGAGTGACATCCAGTGACAATCCATGCAGGCCATGACTACTGGAGTGACCACGGTTGTTCGATATTTCTGTCTTTTGGGTTACAAGGCAGATGAGAAAATACAGCAACAAACTCCCTACCCGCTGATCCCTCCTGAGCCTGGCAGACCAGGGCTCCAGCTGGTCTTTCGGAGCAACTTCCTACAAAGCGCTAGCCGGAAATGAAGGGCTCAGCTTGAGACAGTGCTTCTTCCTCAAATCCGAGTCAATACAAAAACATCTTTCTCTCTCTCTTTTTTTTTTGAGATGAAGTCTTACTGTCTCCCAGGCCAGAGTGCAGTGGCACCATCTTGGCTCACTGCAACCTCCCAGGCCAGAGTGCAGTGGCACCATCTCGGCTCACTGCAACCTCCACCTCCCAGGTTCAAACGATTCTCCTGCCTCGGCCTCCTGAGTAGTTGGGATTACAGGTGTGCACCACTGCGCCCGGCTAATTTCTGTATTTTTAGTAGAGATGGGGTTTCGCCGCGTTGGCCAGGCTGGTCTCAAGTGATCCACTGCGTCTGGCCCAGAAACATTTCTAATTATGATCAAATGGAAGAGGGATTTCTAATTATGATCAAATGGAAGAGGGAACGAAAAGGTTAGATGAGAAATGGGAATCAGTCTGGGATCCCAAACCCAACAGACCCAGGTCAACTACTGTGGCTCGCTGGGGCTGCCGTAAGCAGAGGTGAGGGGTGGAGTCAGCTGATGGGAACTGCAAATGCTGGTGATAACCAGCGAAATCTCATTTCTTGTGGTGAAAGTCTGTAGCCTCTCCGACCCCAATAAAGCCCCCAAAAGAGAAAACTCATCTCTGCTGATAACCAGTGAAACTGTAAGCAATCTCATCTCTCACGGTGAGCACATCTTTATCAGAAAGTCCGGGGCCTCTCTGACCCCTATTAAGCCCCAAAGCCCTGGTGCGGCAGGCGTATTCTGGGAGCACACCACCCTCAGCCCCGGACAGCTGGGAAGGTGGGCCCAGGCTTGGGAGTCAGACGGACCCAATGACAGCTCTAGCACGCCCAGCCCCAGCTACGAGCTATGCTCACGCATGCATGCGTCCAACTATTTACTAAGGGGCCGGTGGCATGAACATGGACTTGAGGGACTTAATCTACTTTCTACGGCTGTTGAGAGACAAACAATTAGGAAAAGTAGACACCGACCAAACGGTTAATGTAAATTAAGTACTAGAAATTAACATGTATCTGTAGATTATGTCTCACCAAAGCTATTATATAATAAAAAATACACACGGTAAATGTTAATATTTACAGAATGTGGGTGATGGGTATACAAGAATTCTCTGTACTTTTTTTTTTTTTTTTTGCAATTTGACAGTAAGTCATACTGTTCCAGACTAAAAAGCTTTGTGAAAAATCAGTACGCGAATACACCGGAGTGTAATGTAACTAAGAGACCATCAGACCAAGGAAGTAAAGCATCCTCCCAGGAGAATGAGGGTGCCCTGGCTGGTGTGCCCTCACTCCAACCCTCAGACCTGTGGAGCATCCAGGAGGGCCGATACTCAGGTGGGCTACCCTTGGCCCCGCCCCGAGGGCTCCCTCAGGCAGGCTGCAGCCAGCCCCTGCGGCAGGACCACATCCTGTCCTGTTCCCTCTGTGGCACTAACCACTGTGATTAAGCTATCAAACTGAATACACCATGGTGCGTCCACAGGCGAGTCTGCAGGAGGGCAGATGAGGGCAGGGCTGCCTGGCTAACACAAGTGCCACTCAGGGAACACCTGTGGGATGGATGTGTCAGGTGCCAGATGCTGAGCTCATCACTGGTCAAACTGCACAGGGTGGGGAAGGGTCTGGCTCTGGCAAGGTGTAGCACAGGCATCCTTTCCTTCTAGAGGAAAAGGACCACTGGATGAACAGACACACCTGTGGGGCTCAGCACGCACTGCTGGCAGAGGTGATGTCCAGGACACCAGCCAATACTGGCACTCAGAGACCCCACTCCAGAAGATCATTTCCTTTATTCCAGTCTGTCTCCAAACTCTCCCTTCTTGTGGCAAGGCGAGCTAAGCAGATGAGTGTTTTGGTCCAGGGCCCAAGGCCCCATCTGCCTCCATAGGGCCCTCCTGGTCTGGACCGGCCCCATACAGAGTTGGAGAGATCAGGCCATTCTGGAATGTTCCCGGAACACCTGGAGAGGGACTGACTGCCCCTGCTAGACCTGAGGTTTAGTAGGGCTCAGATGACTGGCAGCATGGGCTCCGTGAGCCTTTCTGGCTTATTCTCCTGGATTCTTGCAAGTTAACTTACGAGGCGCACGAACACTACCGAGAGAAGAGCAACTCAGAACAGACCTGCTAATACCCTTCCTGTTGGCGACAGATGGCTTGGTTCTAGCACACGGTTTTCCCTTTCAGCCAGCTTATAGGGAGAGCAGCCCCACATCAAAAGAGGGGGAAGAAAAAACAAACAAAAAAACCCTACTTTGCTGGCAAAAAGGATGGGCCAATAATTCCTTCTTTCCTTTGGCCATTCTGGAAAGAAGGCTTGCAGCCCAGGGGCATTTCATCCTTCCGCTCCTTCACAGATCCACGCAGAGCTGCGGTGCTGTGCCCGCCCAAGGCTTGCTCTCCTCTGTGTGCTGGGACACTGGGGAGAGGCAGGTCAGGCTGCCCTGGAGGGGAACCAGGAGAAATCCCGATGGCCTGACACTGTCGACACCCTCCGGCGACCAGTTCAAAAGCACCAGGTGGCCCACGGCTGCTTCCCCTCAGTCCCATCCCTGAGCATTCCGTTTCTTCCAGAAAACTAAAACAACCGCATTAAAGTTTTATAGGGTGGAACTGGCCGTTTCCACTCCAACGTCCCACCCCGTGGCCTGGCTCCCACTACAGGCAGCTTCTCCTTGGCAGGCCACAGTGACCAGATCTAAAGTTTCAAACGCTGGGGCCAGGGGAGGTAAAAACGCAAGCTCAGTTGTGACCTCCTTGCGGGGTTACTATTCTTTTACCCACAATTTTAAAGCTTACTGCAGGAACATTATTGTTTTTTAAAAAAGGAAATCTGAAAATGAGCCCACAATACCATAAATCAACTTATCCCATAAATCTGATTTTTCCAAATTCCCTTCCAGTCCAGATGCATTTTTATATAACCGTAAGCACAGCAAGAGTACCATGCTGAATTCGGCTTTTTACACTTGGCACAGAATCATTAGCATTTTTCCATGGAGCCGCATGATCTCCATAATCATTTTTAACAGCAAGGAGAGTATTCAGTCGGATAGTATCCTAATTTACCGTCGATCTGACTTTTAATAAAGAAACAACGGTGACAGAGTTAGAGGTGGCGTGGTTGGTCTCTCGCTTTGAATCTGTTCCCTCTCTGAATCGGGGTGTTCCAACTGAGGTAAGTCAGACGTGCTGAGACCTGGCCTCTGCAGGTACAGCTCAGACACTACAATAATTCAAGAATGGGCTTGCATTCCATTCACCAAAAGGGATCACCAGGGACTGGAGCAGCCACAAGTCTCAACCTGACATTCCCAGACAAAGGGAGCAGAGGACTGCACGGTTAGAAAGGCTTGTTTCAGAATCGCCCAGAAGCACCGGCCTCTCCTGCGAGTGCTGTCGGGACGGCTCCGGGACCTTCAGGTGGGAGGTGACTGCAGGGCGCACAGGCAGCGCCCCCACTACTTGGTTTACGGCTCTGCTCTGCGCGTGAAGCATTAATTAAAGAGGGACCACAACACGTTTTTGAAAATTTATTTCTTACCTACTGTACTTTGATCATAATGACATGAAACAAGGAAAAAAATAATTTTTATGTGGTTTGCATTTATGAGTTTTTACATAAAGGCTTTTGTGGGTATTTTAAGAATGTGCTAAAACGTTGTCTGAAACCACATAAAGCCATCTGAGGAGTCGCCCGCCAGAACTAACAGCACACACATGGAAGCACTTTAACTGGCCTTTGTATATTTAATGAGTCAAATAGTATTAATATTGTTTAAATGCTAACGTGCTATTTCAATAAGGTGGCTCTACCATCGCCCGCGACTCACTCTCAGACCTCGCACATCCATGGGAGTGAATGATCAAATGTGGCCAAGCGCTGAGAGCAGGCTGCAGAGGAATTCACCCGCCCCGCCTTGGCCCCTGCCCATGCCTGATAATTTCAAAATCCCCCAACTCTGCAGGGAGGGAGGAATGGGCCCAGGACTCACTACCACAGCTCAGCTGATTTGGGCTCAAGAGGAAAAGTCCAGAGAGTCCCTGCAGTGAGGTCTCTGGTCAAGGAGGCAGAAGGGAGAGCTTTTTATTTTATTTTTTTGAGACAGAGTCTCGCTCTGTCGCCTAGGCTGGAGTGCAGTGGCATGACCTCAGCTCACTGTGACTTCCACCTCCCGGGTTCAAGTGATTCTCCTGCTTCAGCCTCCCAAGTAGCAGGGATTCCAGGGGTCTGCCACCACGCCTGGATAATTATTTTATTTATTTATTTATTTTTTGAGACAGAGTTTTGCTCTTGTTGCCTAGGCTGGAGTGCAACGGCACAATCTTGGCTCACTACAACCTCTGCCTCCCAAGTTCAAGCAATTCTCCTGCCTCAGCCTCCCAAGTAGCTGGGATTACAGGCATGCACCATCACGCCTGGCTAATTTTTTATTTTTAGTAGAGACGGGGTTTTCTCCATGTTGAG